TGGTTGAATTTGGGTGAAGAACTTTTAGGTTGGCAACTATGTTTTACCTCACAAAAATTTTACAACATAACAGTCGATCAAATATTAACAAATAAACATTGCTGATCGAAATATGCATCAACAGAAGTATTAATGATTCGCCAAATTTTTGGTTATTTCTTGATGCCTCGACGATAGAATTCTGGAGTTTTTGAAGCAAAATACTCAGACAGGTGTCTAATTACACCGACTTTGACAAATCGTTTTCCTTTCAAGGAATGTTGTAGCGAACTGAAGAGATTGTAGTCACTTGGAGTAGAATCTGGGCTATACGGTGAACGAATTAATCGTTCACACCCTTATTCTTCAATCTTTTGCAATGCCAGATGAACGAACAATATATGGGCAGTCGTTGTCTTGCTGCAAAATAACACCGCATCGACAAAGCTGTTGTAGCCGGTTATGACGTGTTGCTGTCGCCCTCACAAAACTTTGAATCATCTTTGTGCAGGTTGTTAATCAACCATTTTGTGGTTGAGTGCTTTCCATAAGTTTTGTGCCGCATCGATGGCAGAATTACCCAAACAACTCATACAAAGGACGTTCATGAATCTTATGCTTTGAAGCATTTCTTGCGAAGTAAAAGAAAACTTCAAGCGATTCCAAAAAATAAAATGGCTTGTCATTTGAAATCTTGTGAGCACGAGCTATCGAGCGACAAAAAACACAGTGAAAAGGGCAACGGATAAATTTTTTGCCCATAACTAAGAATAACGAAAAATTACGACAGAACTTAGTTGCCAACCTTATTCCTTAAGACCTTTAAACTGCAAGAAAATTAGTGCAGCAGGTGCTTCAAATTTATCGTTTCGCCGTGCCCTGGGAAACTCTCATAACCAAAAACGGTTTTCTCTCTTCTCAAAAAATGACTTCCATGTCGACAGTAAAAAAATACAGTACAAACAAATGAACTCAATGAACTGAAGGAATATTTACGATTATTAGACCAGCAGTTATAACAATAAACAAAAAAGTTCATGACAAATTCTCAAAATTGATTCCTATAGCATCTATAGATTTATGAAGTTGCTTGCAAAAATTTCCGATGATATTCGAACAAAATCAAGAGATCGACTGTTTTTAGAACCCCGAAAAAAAAGCATCCACAATAATTCCAAAAAAGAATGCTTTAAGCTCAAAAACGAGGTTGTTACGTCAGGGTCATACACCGGTGTTTCGGAGGTTCGTCTTCCTCGTCAGTGACCCCCGCCCCACATTCAGCCCTGCATTGAAGCAAGGAGGGAGGCGTATGTGGTGATGGAACAGTGTACAATGACACTGGTCCATCACCACCCCTCAGTCGATGGATTTTTGCTGTTAGATCAAAACTAAATCAAAAGATCGACTGTTTTTAGAATGCAGGGCTGAATGTGGGGCGGGGGTTATTGACGAGGAGGACGAACCTCCGAAACACCGGTGTATGACCCTGGCGTAACAACCTCGTTTTTGAGCTTGAAGCATTCTTTTTTGGAATTATTGTGAATGTTTTTTTCGGGGTTCTAAAAACAGTCGATCTTTTGATTTAGTTTTGATCTAACAGCAAAATTCCATCGACTGAGGGGTGGTGATGGACCAGTGTCATTGTACACTGTTCCATCACCACATACGCCTCCCTCCTTGCTTCAATGCAGGGCTGAATGTGGGGCGGGGGTCACTGCCGAGGAGGACGAACCTCCGAAACACCGGTGTATGACCCTGGCGTAACAACTTCGTTTTTGAGCTTAAAGCATTCTTTTTTGGATATTCGAACACGTTTCCGCTGTAGTTTCGTCCCAAATGAGTGCCATAGCTGTTTCAAGCGCGCTTACGGTAGCGCATCTATTAGCCGAGACTTTGTGCAGTATGGACCACGCGGAGTAATCCATTGGGCGGAGATTAGACAAATCTGACGGCCATATGTCCTTGTCCTAGAAGCCTGTTAACAACTCTTAACAGATGGCAGCCGTTGATGAAGCCGAAGGCGCAGCAGCCCTATCCTGCTGAAGCATAAATCCGTCCGCACCGAAGTGTTGAGTACTCCGACTCCAGTATCCCCCATAAATCTTCCTGCAGATAGCTGGCAGCTTTGGTTTTCATGTCTTTTTTTTTTGATGAAGACCAACGACATCTTTCTGGTGGCGCAAATGCCTGCCCAGACAATCACAGAGGCCGAGAAATGACTGCAGCATATTGGTTTTTGCGGCTGCGTGCTTCTGATGACCCTTCTTGAAAAATTGACGTCGATTCTGCAATTATGGAGTGGTTCGACTTATGAACATAATCTCGTTCTTGAATATCACTTTCGAATGCATGAAACAACTATCAAATGAACCATTAGGCAAGTCTTTGACTGCCGTTTTTATTTCATAGAGGCGAACACGTGCGATATTGTAACTTCTCGGCTTTAGCTTATTTCTGGCGGTGTTTCTGACGTCCCACTGGCTGATACCGTGCTTCTCGAACCATTTTGTCCGTCGAACGCAGGAATTCGCTGAATCTGGCAACGGATCTTCTGAATGTTTTCCGGAGTAGACGAGGTGGTTAAACGACCTTTTCGAGGACGGTCCTCGGTCGCGGTCCTCAATCTTTCTAGTCTTTTTGAAACAAGTTGTGCCTCTGCAACCAACCAATTTTGACGTTGTCGATCGTTTCAATTCCCATCTTGTGCAATCAAACTACTGTGATGCGTTAAAATTTACGGCTCATAATTTGAGTACACCTGAGAATAGACAAATAACTAGGCAGATTTTTAGCCAGAATTAAAAAAAGAACTCAGTAAATTTTCCAACACTAGCAAATGATAATACCATTGCTAAAATCAATAAAATAGAAAATTGTCACGTCATTTTCCACTCTCTGTAAATGGGAGATAAATGGGTGAACGACAAAGCCGACCTCGACATTTTGTGACGAAATGTCGATCAACGAGTAGCGTTGAATCGGTCTTCTAATTGTCTTGTGCCAGTCTTTTTGCATTTCGCTTGTTGTAAGGTATCCCATGGAACTACATGTTATCAGCAGGCTCAAAAAGAGCATTTACATTGGCGTTTGAGAAGACTGCTCTGTTGTTTTAGGCGCAAATCAAGGAGCAGTTTCCATGTCGTGTTGCAGGCGAGATCGTTTTGTCGGTTTTTAAAGAGGTCGCTTTGAACCTGAGATTTGATAGCCTGTCACCGATTGTCTCACCGCCTGACGTTGTAGAAGGGAGCACTCAGTGTGCGGGATATTGAGGCAAGAATTTTCCACAACCCCGATGAGATGTTAAACCATATGGGTGTATAAGTGACAGTAGTTCTTCTAGTTTGCCTGAGCACTTAGTGATATTTAATTCTTGTTCATTCGAAAGTTCGTGCGAATGAAATACGCGACAGCGACATCAATAAAAAGAAAATGTTTCCATCATCCCAGGTGTTATAGATTTAGAAAAAGCTATGCTACAGTGCGCAGAGTTTGTTTTCTATAATTGCACATTTTATTTGGTCTAGTACTACGCTACTGCCGTTACATCCTTCCAGATATCGACTTTGCTATTGAAACTTTCATAGAGACATAAACAACAGTAGAGTTCTAAAATTATAACTCAAAAATATACCATGTAAAACACGTTTTCAACATAAACACTTTAAATATAGCCACTGATGTAGAGTGATATATCAAAATTTTGCGTCATGTAGCGCTCGCCCACACATTTCACCCTATCCGGGGCTGCATCAATGGGTACATGGTTCAGTTTAGCTGTAAAGGTACTAATGAATATTCGACCTCATTCGCTGGAGAGGAGTTTTTCATAAGAGTGTTGGCAATTATTCGAAAGCTTAAATGTCAGGCTAGAGCTGCGCATGGCCAATTTTCATAAAGACCCTCCCATGATTCTCTTGAGTTTATAAGAATGTTATGTTTCACATGCACACATTTCTCATCAGACAGCGCTCTGCTTTTAGATTATTAGTAATCATTCGATAGTGAACGTTATATTGATTCCAATGCTGTAATTATTTTCTTAAAAGATCGTTTCTCTGTAGTGCAACGAGAAAAATAAGATCGAACGCATAAGCGAGCAAGAGGTCTTTGGCCAGTTCACGGACCGCTACGTGAGGCTGCAGTGGGAGTTGCGCAACTACAGATCGATTGCAGACCGGTCTTATGATTGTGCAATCTTTTTTATTCAACTTGTAATTGTTTCTTTATTTGGGAGATAAACTCCGATAAAACGGATAACTATGCTACAAAACGACTTTAAATACTTTTATTTTGCCATGAATACGCATAAATCAATATTATTATTGTCTCTTTAATGGAATTCCGGAAAACAGAATGTCCAACTTCCCTCCAGAAGTGGCTCGTAGACATTCAGCTAATAAAAGATTTCCTTTCATGTTCATATGCTCAGAAATCGATCTACCATCTTGTCAGAAGACCTTGCTGCCTCATCCAGCCACCCGTGAATGAGCCAAAGAACACTTGCTCGAGCGCGTGAATCAATCTTATTTTCCCTCCTACGTTTCAGAGAAACGGTTTTTTCAGGATATAAGCATAGCGTTGGAATCGGTAAATTCTACGCTATCGAGCAAATACTGATAGTCTAAAAAAGAGCTCTGTTCGGCAAGAAATGAGCGCGTGTGAAGCATAATATTATTACTTCATAGCGCTATAAAATGGTCTTTCCAAAAGCCGACCCACCTTCAGCTTTAGCCAGAGATCTAAGCTTTCGAATGATTACTACTTCTATAGAAAGTTCATGTGCGATGAATAATTTTGCTATTCATTTGTCCCTTTGTAGCCAACAAGAACAGGCTCTATTTGTAATATGAGACCACCTCTAGGAGCGTTTGAATAGAAAAGGATCCGGTCGGATCATCTTACTCAGTATCTGTCAGCATGAAAAGGGTCAATTTGGATACTGGCTATGTGTGCCATACCGTTGATGGTTGATTGCTGACAGATAGATGCGTTGTAGCGTAGGAAGAGTGGCGTCAAATCAGGCGTCGGTAGTGTAGCGGTTCGAGGACGCGCCCCTGGGCAAAGTCAAATGTGGGTTCGAGTCCCAACTGACGCAAAACTTTGCACATTGTTCTACAACAATAGCTATCTCAACATATCCAAGCAAAAGGCAACTCAGAAGACTGCGTGCTCTAGTTTTCTCCAGATCATTAATAATCTTTATATTAGAAGTCATTTACGTTTTTAAGTGAAAAAGACAAGTTCCGATAATGACCTTATGGACTACAAACAATACTCGTGACAGATTGTATTGTATGTTCTTATAATGTTCCAATTCACACTCAAAAATGTTTTACAGATCGAGTACGGAATTTTATTCAACATCCTAACGACTAGAACAGATCTGATCAGAGGAACTACTCACTAATAGAGCCATCTTCACTCTCTAACAACCAAAAAGACGAAGAAGTCATTCTACTGGGCTACTCTTGCGAGCGATAGGAAAAATGGAAGTTTTGCTGGTGCCGCTCGAGTTACTCGATGATCAGCGGGACGACAGGCGACAGGTGACAGGTCTAGCTACTTTGGAAAGTATTCGAAACCTCTTGTAGTACCAAGAAGTTCGCAGTGCACTCATTTGCTTTCATTTAGGTGGAAAAAAATCCACGGATCTCCCTTATAGAGCGATCTCAGGCCGTTCAGTCGCGAGGTCACGTGGCGCGTCCCCGGGTGGCGGATAGGGGGTTAAAACGCGAACCAAAAGCGACTGAGTTCTCCCCTAAGACACAAGTGGATTCAGGCAATAATCTCATTGTTTCGTAGCATGTCTCATATCTACGAATCAATTTGGCCGGATGCCTGCAAAGTATATCCATGGGGGTCATGCGAGGAGGTTACAAGTCATGTGCAATATATAACAAGTGGCCATGAGCGCCCATGGT